GGTTTGGGTCCCTGTCTGCCTGATGTCGACATTCCTGGGCCTTCCTACCATCCTCAAATTAATTTATCTGATAGAGTTTTCTTATATGGTACGGCACGCTCGTCTAATTTTACATCCTACAAAACTGTCTGCAACGGTTATTAGTCATTTCCAACGAAAAATCTGCATTCAATGAAGGCAGATTGTCCTAAACTAACGGCCTACTGGAGCCTTATCAGGAGATCTTCTCCCTATTTAGGCATGATAATCGTCACCAGACACACTCCTATTGTCAAAACAGCAGGCAGTTTTCACTGTTTTACTTTACGGGGTCAGTTTTCGTTTGTCTACTACAACCATCAGTGATCATGCGCATAAAGTTGACGCCATTTTTCAGCAAAAGCATTAGCCAAACATTCTACATTGAGAAGAAAGTTGACAGCAATACACAGTGACCACTGATTACCGTTCACTGTATCTTTGCGGCCACCGAGCAAGCACTGGACGCAAACAGATGACTTAGTCTCGCCTACAACTCGCTGGTAAGAGCGCGGCGTACAACTTTTCCCCCTTTAAACCTTCGAAAACAGTTTTGTTTTTACTTAAAACCAATTCACAATTTCGTACACTGTTAACTATGCATATACCCTAAAAGGCAAGTGTGTTACGGAAATAATGCGTTCGCTTTAAGTCTTTTTCTATGATCCATGGACGTTGGCATTGCCAATGGGATTCTATGTCAATATGAATAGACTTGATTATTATTACCATTCACAAATCCCACCGCTTGTGCTCGCGTGACATCCTGTGTCTACTAAAAAGAGAACTCTAGTTGCTCCCTCTTTAACAATAAAATATATCTCAACACACTGACAGCTCACCTGTGAACCCTGGAATATTCGCGGGTGGCGAATTGTATGAGGTCGCTAAAGGTAGTGAGCTCAAATAAACGAAAGCGGTGGCGACTGTTTTCACTTAATTGTATTGATACACAGAGAACTCATCCATGCCCAATGAGGAATTGGAAAATATTGACAACCTACAAGAGTGATCTCCTGAACTGTTAAGGATTATTTGTTTTTCGTCGGTAGTTTAAGAGTGCCTTGTATGGTATATGTGATAAGTTAGCCTATTTCTTCACAATCATGTCACTAACATTTGTTTTGTTATCTTGATTTTCATGTAATACTTGTGTTGACTGTCATCAAGTTATCACAACATATTACTGCCATACAGGAAATGGTTTCAGGTGAACCCTCAGGGCCCATACATATATCAGCCAGACTAGTCGGCCTTCCAACATACCTATCAGGTGGAAAGGTCCGATGTGAGGTGATACTTTCGTATACACCCCTTTCCAATGAATACCCTGACCGGGCTACATTGTGAGTTAAAACATAAGGAGTTCCTTTTAACGGACTAATGTGCCCATCAG